CAAAATAATAATATGGTTTTACCCTTAATATGCTAAATGCCCACAGGCGAAATAACTCAGTGGTTTAATATAATATTATAATATTATATAATTGTTGTTAATATTTTTCAATAATAAATTAATAATTTTTCTTAAAAACTATTATATACATTAGAAAATTTTAAAACTTTTAATAAGGCCCCTAAAAAATTTCCGCCCAGGGTAGCTGCCCCCTTTGCCCCTCCCCTAACTCGAACTGATTGTATATATATATATATATATATCTTTTATTATTTATTATTTAAATGTGCAGGTACTTAGGTTTGGGAATTTTCCTTCAATAATGATTTTTTTTTAACCCCCCATACAAAAGTTATATATACGCCACTACCCGTGTCAGGAGTGAATCCAGACGTTTTTCATGGAGGGAGGGGATCCATAAACATTTATTAATTACCTAGGTATGTACTATGGTATATCACATGACAAAATAGATATTATTAAATATACATTTAAAGCTATTTTTTTTTTAATCTTGACAAATTGGTCAATTACTTCTTCAGAGTTACTAGCATAGGTTAAGTATATATTTTTTTCTATGCTTAAAATTGTCAAGTTAGGGAACCGAGGTTTTTCCATTTAACAAGGTATAGTTCATCAATCGTTATCAACGAATAAAAACACAGCCTATTCACGCAGTGGCGTAGCCAAGGGGGGGCTAAGGGGGCTATAGCCTCCCCCATGGGCCGTTTTTATATGTATAATGTATCTTGACTATTTAATAGAATCAATGCTCGTTTTAATCAAAGGCTTATTGATGTTATGCCACTTGAAGGACTTATTCCGGCCAATTTAAATATGTATGACGATAAAAATATTATAAAAGCTGCTAAAATATATGTCCAAGATCTCTATGATGATAGCTCATCTACAATCAGAGCTGACCTGTTCATATGGAGGCAACAATGGAATCTAAATACTATTCCAAAACCGAATTCTGCTCTTGATTCACTCTCTCATCGCACCAATCTTCGACCTAACATTAAAATACTTTTACAATTATCCTCCACGTTACCAGTTACCTCTTTCACTCCGGAAAGAACGTTTTCAGCACTTAATCGCTTAAAAAAATTTTTAAGAAGCACCATGTCGGAAAACAGACTGAATGGGTTAGCTATGGCTAATATAAATAAAAAAGAGCAATTCGATGAAAGTGATATAATAACTGAATTTGCCAGAAATTCGCCTAAGAGGATGCAGCTGTCAGAGTGGAGCAAGTGACTGAACACTGAAACCAAAATTATTATTATCATTATAAATTATATATTAATAAATATTTTTAAAACTATACTAAAATGCTTGAATTACGTTTAGAAACTTGGTGGTAGATGGTGGGGGGGTTAAGGGTGAATTATCATATCCTCTCTTACCTTACTTATCCAAAAAAAGTGGTTAGCCCCCCCCCATTTAAAAATCCTGGCTACGCCACTGTATTCACGGTTCTGTAGTTGAGGTATATTAGGCTAGGTTCACATGGACGCGCGTATAACTTTTAAGATCATTCACGTGGACGCGCAAACACCAATGTTTAAACATGATTTTGCGAAAAATTCTTGTTTTTATTTTACATCTTATCATACCGTTTGTATTATACATTCGATGAAAATGGACATGTCAGAAGCTGTGTGTTTGTGTATCACATATCGAAGAATGAGAAGACAAAAGGAGGAAAGAAAATATTGGGTCTATCTAATTTTAAAAACTAGACTTTCCTCAAGCCATCATATTTACTACACATTTTGTATTGTACTTTTATTATGTTAAATTTATATTCTGTACTTTGGGCTATAGCCCAATATATCATCTAGTATCCTAAGCTTAGGGATCATGACAAAATTTTTTTTAATTATCAATCATTTAATCAATTAAATAATTTGATAACCTCTTGGATATACTTAAAAAGTTCTGTTTAAATATTCATTAGACGACATATCCCATATGGCTGGTGTTTTTTCTACTTCAGTTTCGATGAACATTTTTTTAGAATAAAAATAGTATACAATATAAATAAATTATACAAAGTAGTATGTGTCTGTTAAATCGTTCGATAACCTAGAAGCTGATAAAAATGTACGATTTTTTTTTAAAAATTGATTGCAGTGAATCGTGCGTGTCAACCGTACGGTCCGCATATATAGGATACATACAAGCGCCATATGAACGATGTATGAGAGACTCGTATATCTAAACACGCGCGTTCATGTGAACCTAGCCTAAGTACATGAGGAAACTCGTTTTTTAGTAGGTACTTGTGGTACTAACCTTTAGTACTGTGATCCAAACTTAGGGGGAAAAAAGAAGGTAGATACTGTTTTATAACCACAAAATCATTTAATAATAATAATCATAGTAATATATAATTTATTTTAGTAAATGAAACAATAACAATATACATTTGATTATTATATGTAGTTTACATATATATATATAATATTATGACTAGGTATATATGTACTTATAAAAGTTACAATCAAAATTAAATAGCAGTAACAAAACATTAACAAATAGTTATGAATACTTCAGATTAGGTTTTACATCTTACATTGGTATTGGTTCATTGGCCATGTACCTATCTATGATTGCTAAAAGTTTGGTATATGCACAAATGTACAATGTACATTGTACATTTTTGAACCCTAAAATATGAGATATTAACGACATATTGTGTATTCGAAGTGTCCACAATAATCCATTTTTATTTTTCACTTGGAATATCACGAGGCCTCATATAATTAATATCCACAGCTTACTATGGAAGACTAGATAAACCAACAAAGATTAACTTAACACGATTACAGTACCTATATTCAGTACGTCGACATTTCAACAAATGTGCACAAAAATGCTCCGGAGTAAGATGCGACAAATCCTCCTACTACCATACTTCCATAATCAATTTACTTACATAGAACTATGTTGACTGAAAATTGTTCGGAAAAACTATAATTAGGTCTGCTCAATAAATACTACGGTTTTAGTGATAGCGAATCTATGAATTGTTCAATTAAAATTCCAATAATGTACAAGCTTGACATTATTGTTTCGTCCACATCACGCAATTAGTTCTCAGAATAATGATAGAATTAGAAATTTCAAAGTTTCAAGTTCAACTTTCATTGATTCCTAAGTATACGAGTATTTTAACGTTATATTAAAAAAGTGCAATGCATCCGGATATTCAAATAATTCCTCATAACAGTCATCAAGGGCGTATTTAGAGGGGGGGGGGGTGATATGGGTGTTAGAACACCGCTCAATCGACCATATTCTATGGTATTTCATCAAATTGCAAACTTACAGTATAATGTGAATAAACGTTGTATACAACTTGTCGATTTTACATACACTGTCTTAATATAATCATTTTCATTAGTATAATAATTTATATAAATACATGGTATTTATTTATGTAATATAAGAGGAGGCAGAGCCTTCCACTTACCCTAAGTCTATTAAATTTTCAAACACCCCCGTTAAATGAATCCTGGATACGCCACTGTCATAATTACATCCTCAAATGAATTAGATCTTTATAAGATATATTTTTAGTCATCAGTTCAAACACCCAGAAATATAATGAGAAATATTTTCACAAGTTAACGAAGTTGAAAGTTAACGAAAAAAAGAAGATTCAACTAGAGCAGCGGTTCTCAAACTGTTCTCTGCGAAGAACTAGGGCTCCATGAAACTAATTTAGGGGGTTCTGTGGGCACATCTGAATTAAGTACTTTCTTCCATTAAACCAAATATTAGTACTGGTAAATGAAAAAAAACAATACCATTACTCTCATTAGGTATAACTTTTAAATTACTAAATACATTTTATATTATATTTTTTTTAATTAAACCAAACATTTTGTTTTATACGACATTTAAACACTTATTGTAAAGAAACAAATTAAAAAGCAATTTATTGATCCATCATTTTTTATTAATTGTCAAATTGGTATTCTGGTTTTTGGGGTTCCATGTATATTTTTAGCATTTCAAAGGCTCCGAGAACAAAAGTTTGAGAACCGCTAAATTAGATTAAGAACTGAGAAATTAAAATAAAATTTATAATTTATTTTGAATTATTTTTAGGTCTCAAGTATTTAACTTCAATTTTTAGTTGAATCTTAACCTACCAAAACTTTTTCCAAAAAATATTTGGAAGCTCAAAATTATAACTAACCCTTCCTGAAAAAAGTTATTTTCTATTAATCTATTATTAACTTCAACTGATTGTAATTTACTAACCTTAGCAAAATACCCTACTTATAATAATTTACATTAATCTTTTTATTTTTTACGGGAGTGTATTTTTCAATATACCCTGAGATAATATAAGCAATGAGCCATAAAAATTGAAATTTTTGTGAATTCTAACTTACTTTAGTAAATTGTTTCTAAATTATTTTATGTTACAAATTCTAAAAAGTAATACATTGCTACACTTATCAGAACACATATAATTTGTTATCTGAATTTTAAAATTGTTAGTATAACTTGTTATTCAATTACTAACAATTTGTTGGAATTTAACTTAAACATTCAAAAATACATACAAAAATCGATATGAACGTGACATACAAGAAAAAAAGTTAAATAAAAATTTATTTTAGCTGCTCATTTGACAAATTCAAACATATAAATAATCATTTAAAATATGTAAAAATAAATGTATTCTTTGAGTTTAAAAACTTTTATATTCTCAGCATCAACAAGAATAGAAAATTTTAGTATAATATAATACATTTATTTTGTCAAATACTCAACATTTAAACATATATATATATTACTGTGCTTAGTAATAAACATATTAAATAAATAGCTAAATTACCTACTTAGAGAATTATTCACTCTAGGTAGGTATTTGTTATTCTGTCCTTTCCACAATATTTGTTGCGAACACCTAACTAATGTTCATGTTCAGTAAAAACAAATCAGAAAACCTCTAAAAAGTACATACTGGTAACCAATTTAATAAAGATTTGTTAGGATAATTTATTTTGAGAAAAAATTATTTGAATTTCACATAATAACTCCGTCGCTTAATTCGATCACTAACTGTCTCTTCACAACAGTTTCCAACTGTCCAATCAAAGAGGGCTGAATAATTGCAATAATAATTATCATCTGCTTTTGGAGTCAAGATCTTGGTATTAATGGCTGTATTAGTAGATGATGTAGTAGATGAAGCTGATGAGAGAGGATCTTCATCATAATTTACGTGAGTAACATTAGATTTGAATAATGAATTGTGATCAACTGTAAATGGTTTATTTAAAGTTCTATATCGATATTCACTCAAGCTTTTCAATGAATAAGATTTTGGTAACAAGCTATTGGTGGCATTAGTTTTAAGTTCTTGGCCCATACCTGGCATAGTAGAGGATAGGTTTGAACGATCTAATAGTGCATAAGAGCTGATACTTCGCGAACCTGAATTTTTGTTATTATCATCATTGGTAAAAGCCCCCGCTGTTTTCACGGTATGCAAAAAGTTGGATTCAGTCAATGGCTCAGTGGTGGCATTACAGCTAATTGATCTTGAAAACTCTCTGGAAACAGAACTGGAAGATGGCTGCCGGCGGTATTTTTCTAAAATCCTATCCACACGAATCTGTCGTTCTTCTCTATTGATATCAGAAGACATGTCACGTACAGGTTTGTTTGCATTCGATGATGATGGCGACAGTGATAGCTTTGTTGCAATATTTGTATCATGATTGTTATATTTGTTAGTCGTGGTTTCCATAACGCGTGGCAGAATATGCTTGTACACTGGAGGTTTTTGAATATTAGTCATTTTATCAGCAGCTTTAAAGAATTCTGAAAAACGAGTAAATTTAAATGATTATTTAAAAAAAAATAGACATAAGAGAGATTTCAATTTTTTCTTAAGTTACAATTGCAACAATTAAAAAAATTAACAACAGTTATTATTTAATCTATAAAAATAAAATAAAAATCATGTTAGTCTCACTAAAAAAAAAAAAGAGAGAGAAAGACTTATTCGTACCTATAGATTTGTGGCATAGGTAATAATATGTATAGATTTGTGTTTTTGGTTTAAATTATGGACAGGCAGAAGGAAGTATCGTTATTACTCGTCTTGTACACGTGGCACATGCACCGTCACATTGGCTGCAACAAAATAAAACACACACATGCAATACTCCAGCACAATCGTAGTTTTTTTTTTTTTGTATATGGTGTGTAGTGTAAATAATATTTATACAATATAATTTAAAAATGCAAAAATATAAATCAGTATCAAATATTATCTAACTTAAAAAATCAAATCTATTTGATATATTTTATGTTTAAAGTTATAATAAAAAATTAATTATAATTTATTAAAAAGAAAAAAAAATACAAACAATTCTATTTTATTAAATATCTCTCAACAATTGTAAGTATTGTATCCACTTTTGTATAGTTGTTTTATTTAATAAAAAATATCACTTTAAAATAATTAGACATGAAAGTGTTTTTAAATGTATATTGTGTTTATTTTTTATTACAAGGAACAAAGCTTAAATTATTGTTTCTTGATCAGGTGAAATATGTTATGTAAGAACTAATAAGGCCTAAACACGACTAATATTCTATGCTACTGACACAAAAACACAAATTAATATTGTAGCTAATAGTATTGTCAACAGATTATATTTTTTCATTATTACAAATAAATAAGAAAACAAACTTATTTAAGCCCTTAGTTTTAGACTTATTAGTTTACCTTTACTAGAAGTATTAGAAGGACGTTCTTGAGATGTAGAAACAAAGCTTCTTCTCCAAGGAGCACTATCAGACCGATTAAATGATCTAGTTTCAGTTAGACGCCGACTAAAAAATAAATTATATAAAAACAAAATTAAATTAAATTACCAATTCTACTATAATAACATACATTGGGGTTTGGTGGTCAAATATTGAACGATGATGGTTAAAAAATGATCTTGGGAAGTCAGAAGTTCTTCCTTCATCACTGCTCAATTTATTGGTTAAATCACGTACCTGTTAATAATAAATTATTTTATTATATGCAATTTTTAAATATTTTATTGAAATTAAATAAATAAAGGTTTAAAAACTATAGAAATCTATAATTCATAATATATTACTCTAGATAGTAAGGTAGAAAATAAATTTTCGGCAGTTAAAATTTCAAAACTGTCATCTTCTTCATCTGAACTTATACTTTCAGTAGACTGTAAATTTCTAATAGATGGCCTTTGTCTACGTGTACTGCGTAATGAAAAACATCTAGGCTGACCACCACCTGATCCATTATCATCATCACCCCTATCACTATTTGAACTGTAAAAATTATGCTAAATTAGTATAACTGTATACATAGAGATATATAGAACTATAGAAACTTACTTTGTTCTATAAAGTGCACTATTACTAGGTGTAACATAACCTCCACCTTCAACAGCAATAGGTATAATAACTTCTCGAGGAGATTTTCTTATTGGTTCACCTAAGCTTACAATACTGCTATTACTATCTGTGTCTACAGTACTTTGTCGTGACAAGTTGCTACTACTTGTCTTGCACAAATTACTGCTACTTGTCTTGGGGCTAGTTATAGATGGAACTCTTTGAATAGGTTTAGTTTTTGATTTATCTTCTGCTTCAAATCGTATAGGTATAATATGTTCACGAGGTTGACTGTTTTGTCGAAATACAGGTCTACAAAAATTATTAAAATTATTGTGAAAACTTAAGATTAAATTACTGTGAAAACTGAAAATTATTCTTAACTTAAATATGTTAACATTAACCAATTATCATAAATTATTTCTATATTTAAAATATTAATCAGATTGAAAATAAAATGTAATTAATTACTGTTAAGAGCATTTAAAATCTGGTAAATTTCTAATTTGTAAAATCAATTTTAGGTACTACCTTGGTGGTAATGGTGCTGTTGTGGTTGCAGTAGCTCCGGCAATTGGGAAAGACACTTCTGTTATACGTCTAGTTGGCTTAGGTACTTGCACAAAATGTTTTACTTCGGTCTTGTAGTTTGTATCAATTGAATCATTGTCATGAAGTATAGAATCTTTTACATTATTACTAGCTGGTAACCTATATAAAAAAAAAATAATAATAAATATTTTTACATTGTTATAGTGAAAATATATTAATATATTTACTCAGGTTTGGATAATTTTATCTCTGCCCTTGATGTTTTTCTTTTTGGTTCCTCAATTTTATTAGTATTGCTATCAGAAATGGAATCTCCAATTATCTAAATAAAATCATTAAAATAACATAACATTTTAAACAAATACATTTTGTTTATTAATATACACTTTATGATATATGTATGCTACTGAATAATATAAAAGTTTATTTTAGCTTTATTTAAAGTTTAAATAAAATATAATTTATTTAGTAATTATACTTACTCTTATAGCATTTAAGCTTTTTCTTAAGTCATCAGGAAGATTTTTAAAATTATTGTTATTGGTCTGTACTACACATAATGGCTCATTATTTAATGCTGATTCTGCTAATTTATTGAGCCCCACAGTAGATTCTAAGCTGAATTGTGGTTCTTTTATTAGTGCTTGTGTAGTATAACTATCAGATTCAATACTTTTTTTGGAACTATTTGATGATCCACTACCAAGAGAATTTCGTCTCTTGGGATCAAAACTATTTTTCGCCATAGATTCAATTTGATCTAATTTTTCTACTGCTTCTAAGACTCTACTAGATCGCCGCCTGGGTCGTTCAATAGGTTTTACGACATCAAGTTCAATATTTGTAGTGGACTCTATTGGTGATTGTGATTTATCACTCTTTGAATTATTAAGAGTTTTAGACGATTCCTTTGAGGATGATGTTTGGAGATCATTTTCACCAGTATCAGATTGACTAGATTTTTTAGAACGACTTATAGAACGATCTCTTTTCTTTAGTTTCTTAGGTTTCTTTTCCACTAAACAAATGATTAGTTAATTAATTTCATTTAAATGAAACAAAATATTTCACAAATTAACATTTTATTATGAATCATACTTACCAGGTGAATCGGGTATTACAGCTGTAGCACGTGAAGGAGATATACTTCCTAAGCTTTGAGACCTTACAGGACCACTTTCAGACCGGGCTTCATTTTCACCATTAGATGGTTGTATACCTAAATTATTATTGGTTTCTTTTGGTGCTGGTGCTAAGGATAGCAACAAATCTAATCTGACTGTGGTTGAGGAAGCCATTTCTTCAGCAATGCGTAAACATTGATTTTCATCAGAATAACCTTCGTTTAACCATTGATGTGAACATATTGTATGAATATCAGCACGTGTGTTAGGATTAACTGTCATCATACTTCCAATTAATGGAGAAGCTCCTGAAAATTAATAATTCTATAACTATACAAATTAAAATTAAATGTATCCTATACAATTAATAAACATAAAATACTTCTCCTTTGCCTTTCTCCCAACCATTTGAGGTCGACAACCCTTGTCCTAAGCTTCCACTTGTCACAATTTTCTACATCCCCTATACACACACACACACGCACACCAATGGCCCTCTTATTATTCTCAATTGTATCTAATCTTATCATTTTTGGTCTTCCTCTTCCTCTTTCCCTTTCAATGTCTATTTTCATAACCACTCTTACTACTTTTTTTCCTTTCGCCTCATCACATGCCTAAATCATCTCAGTCTATTTTCTCTCTCTTGTCCGCCAGTAACGCTACAACTACTAATATTTGTTTCTTATTCTATCTCCTCTTGTCACTCCACTCATCCATTTAAACATTCTCATTTCTGCTACACTCAAACTGTTCTATTCTCCTGTCAATCGTCCAATACTCCAAATCATATAGCATAGTAGGTATCTCTACGCTCGTGTAAAATTTAGCCTTTTAGTCTCATTAGAATTCTTTTATTACATAAAAATTTCAAACATTTCTCTCCACTTCATCCATCCATACTTAATCCTATGTTTTACATCAATGCCAAAACCAAAACTATATCATCAACAAACATATACCATGGTATCTCATACTGTATGTTTTTTTTAACTTCATCCATTACCACAGGGAAAAATAAGGGCTTAAAGCCGATCCCTGATGCACACCAACTCCTATGTTAAATCTTCTGTTACTCCACACAAACTCTTTACACAAGTTCTCAAGCCTTCATACATAATTAAACTTATATTACATAAATATAAATATATTTAGTTACTTGAAGGTTTTTTTGGTTCATAATATTCACCCTGAGAAATTTGTCTAACTAAACGTTTAAAATTTGATCCATCAAATGGCATTGTTCCATATACCAAAGTGTATAATAAAACGCCTAAAGACCTAAATAAATGTGTTACATATAGTTATGTATAAAATTTAATTATTGTTTAATCATTTTAAATTTAATTTTCAAGTCCACAATTTACCAGCAATCCACTTCAGGGCCATGATAAGGAGTACCAGTAACTATTTCTGGAGAAGCATATAATGGACTACCACAATAAGTTGACAAAAGAGCTTTATGATTAAAAACATTTGACAAACCAAAATCAGCAATCTAAAATTTAAAAAATACAATCCATAGTATTATACAAACAAACATAATTTTAAATAGTAAAATCCATTTTAAAAAAATATAAAACAGAGGAATAAATATTAACTGGTATAAAAATTGATGAATATAAGTTTAGATGTGCATATAAATAAAACCCAGCTTTACTGCTTTAAACAATTTATAACCCAACCAATTAAATAAATTTATTTCTCATTAATACTTTAGCATTTCCTTGGTCATCCAATAAAATATTTTCCAACTTGAGATCACGATGACAAATATTATGCTGAAATATAAAAATGTTCAGTAAATAAAAAACAAAAATTAATATTATCTTTAAAATTAAAATACTTACTTTATGACAGTAAAAAATTGCTATAGCCACTTGTCTAAATATTCTTCTAGCCTCCTCTTCAGTAAGAACTTTTTTTTCACTGAGATAGTCATAAAGTTCTCCTCCTGCTGCATATTCCATTACTAATACTATTTTTTCCCGATTTTCAAATACTGAAATAAATATTAATTGTAATATTTTTCTACTTTGCTATTAGATATGGAAACACACATAACTGATCCTGTTGATTGGATATATTATAAAACTATTGAGTTCTAATGCCTTAATGCAACATTTTCCAAACTTTTCCTCTACCAAACCCCTTAGAGATAATAAAAATGACTACAGACCCCTTAATAAAAATAAAAATTTTAAAAAATAATAAATATTAATACCTAATTGATTGTTTTATTTTTTGAATTAAATACACATATTTGTATGATAAATAATGATAAACCAACACAATCAGTCTGTCTCTAATCTAAATTGCTTTATTTTTTTATATAATTCTATATTTTAATGTATTTCTCATGTAATATAAATATTACATCAGTTTTTTTGTATTTTAAAATAGGTACTTCGTTTATTTTTAATTTACCTTCGCGGACCCCAAGGGGTCTGCGGACCACAGTTTGGAAAACTGTGCCTCAATGTATACCTAAATACCAAAAATGACTGGTCTCAAGAAATTGGAATAAGAAAAGTAAAAGCAGAAGTATCCTTTGTATTAATAAAATGTTTCAAATCAAAAATATTGTCATAGCTAACAAAAATTAGACTTTACAAGACGATAGTGAGAGCTGCATTAACATTTGAATGCCAAGCATGGATGATTATGAGCATAACAGAACAAATACTTAACACTTTTGAAAACAAAATAGGAGGAAAAATAAGTGAAGGAAAAGTGCATTTAAGAACTGATAGGGAAAACAAAAATTGCTCCAATAAAATATTACATAAGAGGTCAAAGAATCCAGTGGGCACATAATTCGTGGAAATTATCGTTATATAATCCAAGTAGTAATAACCTAGAAATCGACAGAATGGAGACTACAAAGACGTCCAAGGAAGCAATGTGTAGACATGATCGAGGAAGATTTAAAAATAATAGAAGTGAATGACTGAAGAAATATAATTGATGGTTAAAAAAAGTGACTTGAAGTTATGATAGCAGCGTAAGCTCTTGAAGAGTAGATTAAACCAGAAAAAGAAAAAAAGAACATTATCAATAAAATGATAAGATTAAAATAAAAAAATCATCAGTTAAATTCCATTAATATATATCATTAAATTAGTTGTATAAAAATTTATGGGGTTAAATTTATAAAAATATCAACTTAAAAAACTTTAAATAATAAATAATGAAATAAAAATTAAAAATTATTAAATCGTTAATATTTGTAAATTAATGTATAAATAATTAAAGCTTAACCCGGACTATTATTATATTTGTAAAGTACAATAGGTTTTGAATTAAAAACATTCATTGTCAGATATATACAAAGTTAATAAAATAAGTCTCTAATTTATTGATTTGATATATACCTGACGATGAATTTTTAATTTGTTATCGATCATCCTTTACAAATATAATAATACTCTAGGTTACTTTTATTAATTAATTTATTTATTAAAAAATTTTAAATAATCTTATAATCGTCTATTTTCATATAAATGAAATAAAACAATTTAATTTAACAATAATTATTTATAGAACAAAAGAAGATTAAAAATGATAAAAATACTTATACGTAAATGCTTAAAAAAAATTGTAAAATAAAAACTGTAAAATAGCTTTGTTTAAATATTACTTTATAATAAAGTTAGTAATGTATATTATTTTATTATCTAAAATGTAATACCTATAAAAAGTTATAAAAATATTACCTTCATATATGTGTATGATATTAGGATGTCTTACAGAAGACATAATTTGTATTTCTCGTCTGATTCGTATTAAATCTGCTTCAGTCTCTATTTTTCGTTTTCTTATTGTTTTGATAGCAACCTAAGGTTCAAAATATATACAAAAGTTTTTAACAACTAAATATTAACACTTATTTATTAAATCAATTAATTACTAGTATTTATGAACTAAAAATGTCATCAAGCATTTTTCTAATATAATTTTAAATGTTAAAATAATAATAAAATAGAATATACATAAAATGAAGTTATTAACTAAATTTTTTTTTTTTTTTATAATTAAAAAAAATTTGTTCAAGAACATAAATATATCTAATAATGATAAATTAATTTAAATAATTTAAAATTTAAATGGTATTTTATAAAAGATAATTTTATAAAAAAATTAAGGTTATAGAATAACAATTAAATTATATTATGTAATTATACATTTAATCATCAACTAAATAAATACATTACTGTATGATTATAAAATAAAAAAATAAAATGTCTATTAACTGTTAATAGTATTCCAGTTTTTAACTCAACTATTTCAATTAAATAATTAATTCATTGATTATTATGATATTATTATTATTATTATTATTACTTACCAACTGTTCAGTTTCTTTGCAAATACCTAATTGAACTTTTCCACAAGATCCTTCTCCAAGCTTTTTCAATATATCAAATCTATTATAAAAAAAAGTATTATTTAATAAAGTACAAATACATACATAAAAATTTAAAGATGAAACTATTAATTCATTACTTTTGTTTTAGTTTTTGTTTGCGATTGTGCAAATGAATACCACCACCATTTTTTTCTATACCTCGCATAATATTATCACACATAATTCCGTTTTCTGGCACAACCATTTTATTATGATTACCTAAAAAATATACATCATTACAACTAAAATATTTTTTTTTTCATTTTTACTATATAAAATAATAAAAGCACCAAATGATAAACATAGTATTATAATAATCTAATATTCTATGTATAGTAATATATGAATTATTTTAACTCTAAGATTTATGTTTTTAAAAAATTATCTGGTAGTCTATAGTAGTAATATAATAACTTAAATAAAAATAATTAGAAAAATAAAGGTAAAAAATATCAATACAATTTGAACAGTACAGTTAACTTTAATATCTTGTTGTGTCTCACCAAAATAAAATTATAGATAAAAAAAAATGTTATGGACCTAGGTAATATGTTAATATCAAAATTATTTTTTACTACAATAAATGTATACCCATCATTTTACTGTAGTTACATATTTATAATATTATTTTGTGTTGCTACAGTGAGCGTTTCCCTAACAACTCTAAATGGTTAAATGTTTATATTCTTAGCATGTTTTAAAGCAATTTAATTAAAGTTCAACTTATTCAATAATCATGAAAGTATACAAAGTACATAATCTTATAATATAAGTTAAATAATGCATAGAAATTAAATGTATGCAATTTACTATATTATGATTTAGCGCATCCTGAGTACTGAAAAAATGTCTTTAAAAATCAAATACTTCATCAAAGATAACTAAAAATATCAATTTTGTTTTGAAGTCAGGTTTGTTGTAAAATGAGTTTTAAATTTAGAATGGTGCCACAATTGTCAACACACTATTATATATATATAAATATCTAATATTAATTAAGTATACTTCTTATAAGTTTTCATTAATCTCTAAAACTATAACAATATTGAACATAATGTTGTATACAAAATTATTTTTTAAATAATTATACACCAAATATATAAAGGATCACTATCACAGAATTCAATTTTCTGAAAAATGTAACAAAATTGAAAAAGGTTATCAAAACTTTAAAATATAAAACCAACAAAAAGTCATGTACTTAAACAAACCATTTAGTTGTAAAAAACTAAAAATGATTTAAAAAACACAGTCAATGAAAAAAGATATATTTATATTACAGAACAGATAGTAATTGTATGCACTTTATAACAATAAATTATGGTTGTTTACAGAAATAGATTAATTTGATAGATATGAAGAAATTTGGGTCTATCAATCTATTTAAATTTTTTAAACAAATTAATTTCAACATTTATTAAATGGATATTAACTCAGATATTAGTAACAAACTAAACCTAATAAAATATACAGTAATTAATGAGTAGAGTGAATGAAATATAATAAAAATTTTAAAATTAATAAATATTGAGAAATAATTAACTAAATAATAAGAAAAATATATTATAATTTCATTATTTTTATTTTAGTAGTACTTACAAATTATCAGCTAATATTTTGGCTACGTTAAAAAATGTTGGCAATTTTATACATTTTTTATAGGTGACTAGTTAAATGACTTGCTAATGACTATTTAAATTATTTACTTGACACAGACAAGTGTCTGTGCCATAATTTATTGAATTTTGGCAAAAATAGTAATTTATAATTTTGAATAATAAAGAGGCATCTAGGTCCGATTATGAATACCCAATAATCTAATACTAGATAAAACAAACATAATTTTTAATTATCTTACTAGTTGAAATGTGTTGACAGTAAAATATCGTGTTTCTTTGACGGTATTCACTTCAAGTGGTTGTCCTTTTGCGAACCTTCATGAATCCATTTGCACTGATACGATCGATTACAAAACTATCCTACACAATGATAATAATAATATTAAATTACTGTTTTTGTCGAGTGCTCAAGTATAAAATGCACGGGTGCAACTTTTGATATGCAAGGGATATACAAGGGTAGAAACAGTGGGAGAAAAAAATTTAAAAAATAGGTAAACATGTAGCAGAAATAAGCAGATAATCGAAATGAAAAAAAAAATACGCGTTCAACAGTAGCTAAAAAACGGTGTGTTGGGACATTTAATCGAAAGCAAACGAAATAAGTCTGCGTGTGGAAAATATGAGGAAAAAAATCGGAGACGTTAGCGGCGGCGGGCGGACGGAGGCTATTTTTAGCATTTCGAGATACATTCTCGCACACATTACCCCACTCCGTCGGGATTGGCAGCCGCGACGTAGTCGTTCCTCTTGCGACTATATATATTTGTAATATTATTTCGTTTTCCTCTTCCTCTTTGCAGTAGCAATCTGGAATTCGACGTCGACGATGAGGACGTCCCTGCGGCGGCGGTCGCACGCGATCTGGCATCTGACATTGCCCATAGATGCGGCACGGCCGAAACTTGACGCTATAGACGCGCGCACAATCTCGAGCGTCGGGGAATCACGCGAAAAAAAAACACAAAACGATAGAGAGAGGGACGCGGTTAAACTTTTTTACGACTCGTACGACGTCGTTTTACGAGCGCATTTTAACGGGTCGATGGTGGAATAAAAATGTGAGTCGTCGCTTAACCGGACGACCGTTGTTGTCGTCACTATAACGTATTATGATGCTATTTATACCGTTTCGTTGACATATAATTATTGGTGTGTTATTGTTAATCTATATCGCGTAATACGTTAATTAACACTGTTCAGTGTTCACTACGGCTGGTTCAACTTCAGCGGCCGTGCCAACCAATCACGTTTTGTCCTAGTACCTTCGCGACTGTATCACGTTCCGTCGCCGGTTGACGAGTAGCTATCACAAATCGCGCTGTTATCGTCGACCGTGATAGCACCCAGGGGCGGGTGACCAATCATCTGGTCCGTGTGCGAAACGCCACCAAAAATCCACTTTTTATTTATTTTCGGCCATCTATGCACATTTTTTTCCTATCAAGGCGGGCTCACATACAACGATTTGTACGTTTTATTGAAGACAACAAATCGGACATCTTATATTGAATCGGAATGAAATCTTCGGATTAAATAAAAAATTAACTGATTTACCTTTTTTTCGCTTCGAACTCAAATCTCTACACATATCTCCGACTGTTACAAGAACTATATAATCACCATAGGCGTGCGCAAACTTTGTCCGCAGGGGAGGGCACCTTAAAAAAAGTGAACCAAAGATTCTTGTACTATAGTCTACTAGTGTAATTAAATATTTTAAATTTTATAAATTATTTATTTAATTTAATATCCAAATATAAAAATAAATACTATTTAAACTTACACAATTTATATCTAAGAAATCTTTATTTACATATTATTATATTATTTACAACTCCATCCTTCTGTCCATGGGGGGTAAGGTTTTTGAATGTATCAATTACATCTTCAATTTTTATATTATATGCAAGTTCTGATTAGACTGATTAATAACTAATAACTTTATTACATTTATTCACAGATATCAATTCTATACTATAAGACTTTACTTTATTCATGTAAAATGTAAAAATGTTCGCTATCTTGTATAGTTTAGATATACATTTATTAAAGAAAAAGCCAGAGTCCGCAGGGGGGGGCCGTAGCCCACCCGGCCACCTCCGTGCGCACGCTTATGATAACCACATATCTTTGGACCTCACGTACAGTGCAAAAATACGGGATACGACCATTATTTCTATATCGTTATTATTATTATTATTATTATTATTATTATTACTTATTTTGTTCTGATTTCAATAAAAATCATACAGTTGTCCACGCCGCCACGTGACTTGCTCAACGTGCCACTCTAGACCCACACATCCGAATCGTCGCCGAACGGGGGCGTATTGTTTTGTATTGCCCATAAGCGTATTGTAATATGAAAGTATACGACGAACAATATCGTTCATAACAACGTGTGCACAACAAAGTATGTAGTTGTTTTTATACACATAATAGGTCGGAACACGTATCAGAAGACGTGGGATTTGGGTCGAGTAGCACACGATTATATTACCACGACAAAAGAGTTATATTATTTGGTTGAGCCTTTGGGCACCATGTTTCGATATATGCACCAAATAAATCTAACTTTACAGTTTACATTTTTTTTTTTTACTCACTAATAATTTAAAAATATTGTCAAAATATTCTAAATATATTCGACTTAAAAATCAAACATATTTATACATCGGTATATCAGCGTTATTAAAATAATCTTAATACACTAATATTTTATAAAAATATTAAGTTGTTATCAAAAACTCAGTGATTGACTACTATATTATACATTATTGTGAATTCGACCAGAAGGATAGTTCTGATCACCACCAATTTTTATTTATTTTTTATTATTTTTTTCGAAAACTGAATCTTTGAACACGAAAAGTAAATAGATGTACGGTTGATGTTATCATGATAATTTAATGGTTTGTGTTTAAATTTGAAGTACTAAGAGTTTGGATCACCTTCTCTATCTGTTTATTAGTTTTTAACGAGATATTTTAAATACTGTAGAATTTTTATATATTCAAAAAAATGAGTCTAATATACAGGTTCTTTTGATTTTTATTAGTGAAGGATGGAAAGGTTTTATTATTTAAAACTTTAAAATTAATATTTTTATCTCTACATTTCATGTAAATGATCCATAATTTTTATTAATTACAACGATAGTTATAAATCAATTAACTAAAAAGTATATTTTAATTACATTTACATTAGTAATAAAATTTAATATTATGCTTGTTTTATTTTTATTATCATACATACAATCAAGCATAATTTACAATTTTAAATATTGCAATACAAATTTCATATTATTTTAGTACCTAACTTATTGTTAAAATATCTGGATATTTGAGTGATATATATTTATATTTTTTAAATAAATAATTTAAATCATTTTATTTCGGGCGGTACTCCTTTCGCCCAAAAATGACCTTCCTCTTTTTGCCCACATTCTCTTTTCGACCAAAAATGAAAAAACAGTTTCCTCTTTTCGCCCAAAAATAATTGTATTCTTTTTGCCCATGGTTTCACGTTTTACATCTTGGAAACCACTGTCTCATAATTAATAATTTTTAAAAAATCATATAATAATCAAATAAAAAACTAGAAAAATATATAATTATTAATAATAATTAATAATAATTTAAAAACTGTTAAAAATAAGTATTTAAAATAGTGTTATCGATGTAAAATAACTAATAAGTAATTTGATCAGGTTACTACTTAAATAAATAGTTTGTTTTGTTATTGTAAAATAATACAAATATTCATATTAATTATGACTTTTAAGTATTTATAACGTTTATTAAAGTGTTTTAAACTATATATTTCGATAGAAGAGTCGGCACCTTTATACACTTTTCTCGACTGACTATATTAATAACAATCAAAAACGTGATTTTATCGAATATCAAATATGATTTTTTAAAAATTATTAATTTTGAGAAAGTGGTTTCCAAAATGTAAAACGCGAAACCATGGGCGAAAAGAATACAATTATTTTTGGGCGAAAAGAGGAAACTGTTTTTTCATTTTTGGTCTAAAAGAGGACGTGGGCAAAAAGAGGAAGGTCATTTTTGGGCGAAAAGAGTTCCGCCCTTTATTTCCTGTACAGGTATTATAATATTAAATCCCCCAATGGAAGGTATTTTATGCCATATTATGATTAAATTGAGACGAAAAACAATTATTTTGAAATATGAAAACCGTTTAATCACAAACCATTAAACTTCAGTACATTAAACACACAAAATTTCAAATCCGCCTATATCAACTCATATATTTTTATATTATACAATAAATTATTTTAAGAACCATTTTTTTTTTTTTTTTTTTTGAATTATTGTTAATATCATTCGTTTTGATCAGCACGTAAGAATAAAAACATACTAAATGTTCATTCCCACACCGACATTGATCTAAATTCAAAATAATAATATTACAAGAAAGCATATGTTATTGTTGTAGGATGAAGATACTTCACTCGTGCATCATTAGACTAAAAATATGAAATGCGTATGCGTTTATGACGTGCTAGCGAAGGCTGCTCGTGGCATTACCCAGACGTCATAATTTAGTGATAAAAATATTACATATCATAGAACGTTATCATATGGTTTACGAGAATATAATTAAAGATTTTACATTTTATTATGTAACGGATGAATTTCAAGTAGATATCTATATCGCTGAAAAAATTTGAATAGTAAAAATAATAGTTATAGTTAAGATTTTTAATTGATCGTTATTTTATTCAGTTATTTACTATGAGTAGGTAGAAGTTTATTAAAATATACTATAACGTTGATATTAAAAATGTCATTATATTTTCTATTGTAAAATAACAAGTAAACACCAAATTATGACTAGCATATTATGTTCATTACACATGTTAATGCGTATGTATTATTTTCTTTCAAAATAGATATACAGTTCATATAACATGATATAATGAATACTATTACGAAAACACTTAATCCATTTTTATACGATATATATTATTATCATTATTACGAAAGTGGAAACACAACGACATTTAATTTAAAAGTATACAAATATAAAGAGTGATCCAATTAACATGTTAGCTACTCGAAGATTAAAATATATTTTTACTAAGTGGGTATTATTTTTTAATTATATAAATAAAATATTTTGTTAAGAATAATTATAATTCCATGTTCTTGTTAAACAAATTTGTAAATAATATTCAGAACATTTTTTAAATTAATTTTTGGATCCCCACTTCTCGTAGGTTGAACATGTAAAATATTCATTGTAAAAATATTGAAAACTACAGTAAAGATTTAAAACACAAGCTGAGATACATACTATCCTAAAAATCTATATATTATATTATACATATTCCAATAATTGGAATAAATATACATATATATATATCACTAATAATTAGTAAAATAATTTTATTAATAAATAAATATAATAGTTGCAATATAACTATTTTTCAATTATTATATTAACTAACAGATCATTTTCTAACAAATATGTTCAATTATTTACATTAAAATATTTTATTATAATGATTTAATAACAATAAAAAATAGTCAAGCACTTATAGGGGTGGATCTGAAGCTTTTTTAAAGGGGAAGGCAATTGAAATATTATTACTATTATTATATTATATTATACTATTATTTATTATCATGAAACACTATCAATACAAAGATATACCTTTATAGTATTTAATAGTGGCGTAGTCAAGGGGAATTAACAAGTTATAAGCCTCTCTCGATATGTTTCTTTTATCTTATAGAATATACAATAATTTTAACAAACAGGCATAATGTTATATTATGTTACCTTTAAACAATATTCACAGTTTCAATAAATAAAATCATAACAAATTTTATATTTTAACTTAAGTTTAATCAACTTATTAAAATTAAAAAGTTGGTACTTATGTAGAAGAGAATTGAAAATTTAGAACCCTCAAAAATCAGATAAAAATAAAAGCCTCCCCCCCTCCTGGTAATCATTAAATTATCTCCTCCATTAATCCGCCCCTAAGCATTAAAAAAAAAACAATCACGCTACTCACATATATATAACTCAATGCTAAAATTGTTTTTAATTTACTTTAATATTTCAGCTATCTATGATTATCTAAATACATAAACCTAAGAAGAAATCGAATTTCCTTATTTAAATCCATCACGTTGTTGCCATTACTAGGCATTTTTTTTGAAAATAACAGTCAAATGAGTTAGACCCATTCTCGTATTATAAAAAATATCCAATTTGGCTTCAAAGCAAAATACTCTGTAAACATCAGATTCACGAGATCGTAGATAAAATTGCTACTTA